TCTGCTGCTGCAGATGTTCTGCTGCTGCAGATGTTCTGCTGCAGACGTTCTGCTGCTGCTGCAGACGTTCTGCTGCTGAACAAACTTTTAATCTTTTCTTTTTGTTTTTGATCAGTTTTTTAATTGCAGAATTTTTCTTTCTGGTTTTTTATGTTTTTGCATCATGGATGTTTTGTCCCACTGACGCTAATATCCAGACGGATACAGGCTGAGTAAAAACACTGTTAATTAATAATTTCATTAATGAAGCATCCAAACCAATCTGTGGAAAAGTAATCACGCCTCTTGTTAAATCAGTGACCCTCCACTGATCCCATTAGAGGAACCAGAAACATAAAAAGCTGATTTCCTGTCAGGCTGAAAAATCCCTCAGATAGAACCAGTCAGACCGCATGAAGCAGGCAGATGAAGGATTTAGTTCTTCATCCCAGCAGGAGGCTCAGTGAACTGGATGAAACCGGATGGAGATGAAAGCAGCGCAGCTGGTCCACAGAGGACCTCCTGGTTCCACATCCGTTCCCCACAGCAGCAGAGGTCAGAGGTCAGATCTCGCTCTCATACGTGTGCATGTATGTTTTTAAGGAGAGGATCTCGGCGTAGCTGCGGCCGGTTCTTCGGTACAGGTCCAGTCCTGTGAGCAGCTCCACATCTCTGACCCGAGCCGTGTGCATCTTCATCAGGTCCTCCACCCAGCGGGACTCGTCCTCAGAGCTCTGTGGAGAGGGGCGGAGACAATGCGTCATCACTGGGGTCTCTGGTAACCAACATGTTTAAGATGGAAGCATGAAAAGCAGGAGGAGACGCTGGCGGCGCTGAGCGCTCGGCACCGCAGGATTCAGCTTTAGGTGGTGAAACCAAACCTGCCAGGAGGAAGGAGATGAATCTGGGGGGTCGACTCTGGCATTGAAAGCAGCTCATGCCATCAAGTTAGGACTGGTTGAATCCCAGTGGACAGCAAAGTTAGCTGGTGGACCTTGGTAGCCATGTTTAGGCTCAAATCAGAACTGGATTTAAGGTAACTGGGTATGCAGTTTCTGATTTGGGAAATGCACCATATGTGCTGCATAATTAAGGGTTGACTCCAAAATGATGATTCATATCATTTTTCTTTTTCCATAGTAATCTTTTTGAAGTTCTACAACCGCAACTTCAGGTAAAAATGTGGAGAGAACCTGCCAGCGTTACCCTGGAAGCTTCTGACTGAGACCCTCCCTCCTGCCTGAGCCTCTGGAGGAAGGAGGAACATGCTGGTGGAGGAGCTCTGCTCATAGATGCTGCTTACGTTGCAGGTCTCCTCGTTACTCGGTCTGTGAGGCAGGATGAAGGCGGCGCTGCTCAGCGGGCCGCTGCAGGACTCTGCTGGCTGGGAGAAGTCCAGGCAGCTGGTCAGAACCAGGAAGTAATGGGATGGGACGGCGATGGTTCCACTGGACCAGCTGGAAAAGAAGGGATCAGACGCTGCTGTCAGCCAGGAGAGGATTTAAACCCAGTTACAGCCTGTTACTGGTCCCACTGTAGACAAACTCCAGACATCAGCAGAATAAACTTCCCCTGCCAATAAAAGGCTCCATGTTTGATAAACAGCAGATAGAAGCGCAGCAACTAGAAAAGCTTTGCTTCCAAGGAGCTGCAGACTAGATGTTCAGTTCTGGCTTCAATCCGACCAAAGATCAGAGCAGCAACACGTCTAGAAGCAGCAGATCTAGAAGCTCCTCTACAGAGAAAATCCAACCCAGAAATGAAATAATTGATCAGAAATCAATATTTATTAGAAAGGAGCTAATCTAATGGCTGCTGGTGACATGTGTGTATGACTGACTGAATGTGTTCTGTATGTACTTATCTGTTCCTCACCACAAGGGGGTGCTATTGAGTTATATAAGAGCCTGCTTCCAGATCTGACAGACAGCTGGAAGAGCAGTTTGTCTGTTTAAAGTAAATCTGAGGCTGAAGAGAGAAGTGGTCTGGTCTGCGTTTCTGCTGTGTGTCAGTAGTTAGCAGTACAGCTGCTAACAGCTGCTAACATTTATTAGTTTATCTGCTGTTTGAGTGGATTTAATGTTTATTTATTGAATAGTGTCAGAGTCGGTCCTCTAAACCCTTCAGAGTCCAAACACCCAGAATGATGTCAGAGAAGATTGGGAGGAAATGGACCAATCAGCAGCGGAGGCAGGCTGTTTGATCTATTTGCTGTTTTAGTTTCCTTCCTGTTCTTATGGTCAGACGGTGGTAAACCTACGCCCTCTCTGATTGGTTAAACAAAACTGCTTATAAATGGGAGGATTTCGCCGTTCTAGCAGTTTCCCTGGAAACCAAGCAAGTTCAGTCCAACTTTCTCTTCCTGCGAGTCCTCTGCTGACTCGGCACTCCTTTAAATAACTTTAGATCTTTGTTGGTGATTTAAACCCAAACCTGCGGTCAGAAACTGAAGACCAAAGGACTCCAGAGGAACAGGAAGCAAAGCTTATAAAAGCAGAAGGTTCCTACTCTCTGATGGTCTCCGCCGAGTCTCTGACGCCATCATAGTTGTGGTCAAATATCGGTCCAACCAGAACGTTGACTCCGTTTCTCTCTGTGGCGTATTTTTTCACCAGTGCCCTCTGGATGTAGGTCCATATCCCTGATGGGGGGGGGGGAGGTGGCGGTGAAACGTCTGAGCAGGAAGTGAGGAAATCATCAGGAGGAAGAACTCACTCTTAAAGGCAGGATACATGGGCGCAGTGTTGGTGACGAGGACAGCTTCCTGCTTCTTCTCCAGCGTTGAGGACAGTTCTGGAAAAGACCAAACATTCCCAGTCAGTCTTCCTGATCGCTGAGGACGGCGGCGAGTCCTCGGGGTCTAAGTAACCTTCTACACCAAACCTGGACTCCGCCTCCTGCTTCCTTCTAAAGGCTAAAGGTTTGGAGGGAAGAACAGGCTGGTCTGTTCCCACGCTGAACGCTTCAGGAACTGATCTATTACAGCGCAGCTCCATCCAGCCACATGGAGCCAGGAAGGCGGGTTTAGAGGAGTGGAGGAGGCGCGACTGACAGCAGCTCACTGCCAGCAACAGAGCTGTCATCTAAGGCAGAGCTACACTCTGCACTGTCAATCAGAGGAGGAGGTGGAGGGAGGGAGGGAGGGAGGAGGCCTCCAACCATAACACTGATGCAGTCTCCACTGGCTGGAGCCGGAGCGAGAAAAGATGGATTCTGGTGTTCGTCGGCTCATTAACACCATCAGACTTCAGGTTCCTCATTCCCAGCAGAAACTATAGCAAGAATCAGGTGCAGTAACCCTTCTAATCCCGAGGAGGGAGCCAGAGACACAGATTTAGACGAGATTTTAAAATAGAGAAAACATCAAAGTCATTGAGAGACCCTGCTGCTCAGAGCTGCACTGACCTCAGCACAGAGAATCTCCATCTAAGATGGAGGTGCTCGCCAAACGCAACCAATCAGCAACGACGCTCAATCATTCACTCATCCAGTGTCTGGCTGAGACGGTCCCAAACTCAGGAACCAGTGAAGGTTCCCAAAGGAGGTGAAGAGACTAAAGACATTTAAAGAATCAGACGTTCTTTGCAGGGAGACATGGTTACCATGGCAGAACGCCGCCCCCTTCAGGCGGCATAGCGCCACAGCTGGGGAATAACGCAGCTGTTCCAGCAGGCGGGAAATTAACCGATCCATTTCCCCTTTAGCAAAGACGGCAGCGGCGTCAGGTGCAGGAGTTTACCCTGCAATCGGAGGGTTGTCGGTTTGAGCCCGGCTCTGCCTTTCAGTGTGGTTGTGTCCTTGAGCAAGATACTTCAACTGCATTGGCTACTGATGGTGGTCAGTAGGTGGCGCCAGAGCACGGCAGCCTCTCTGCCAGTGAGGCCCAGGGCAGCTGTGGCTACCATGTAGCTCACCACCATCAGTGTGTGAGTGAATGTAAAGTGCTTTTTCCAAGTCATTTCAGGACACTGCAGGAGACCAACTGCAACTATAGTTCACCCCAGACACCCCTCATATCCATGTTTACTATATATTGCATAAAAGGACCCCAAATATTTTGAAATAGCGATAATTTCCCTTTTATAATGAATGTAATCTTTTCCATTGGCAAGGTTGTTTATTTCTTTAATCCAATTAATGACTTTTGGTTTCCTGGTTCTCTTCCATGAAAGTGCTTTGACTCTTTTTAAAATTAATAGACATAAATCTACGGCAGTGATAATTTTTTTGATATCTCTTTGGGTATAATCCTGAGATAAAAACTTTAGGATCAAAAATGTGTTTTATCCCTAATATAGTTTCTAGAGCTTGTTTAATCTCTCTCCAAAGTTTTACTACTTTCTTGCATTTCCAGATACAATGAATAAAAGTTCCTTCTCTTCTCCACATCTAGGAGCAGCTCTGGGATGAGGCGTGTGTTAGTAGTTAGTGCTTCAGCACACGCCTTCTCTCAGTCCTCCGAGGATAAATGTTCCTGTAGATCTTCCCTCCAGGCATTGAGGTTCTGCCAAGAAGACTCAGAGGATCCCTCAGCCAACATGTTACACAGTCTGGAGATGATTCCTTTTCCAAAGCAATCCTTCTTCATTCCAAAGTAGACAGCGGGGGGATAAATTCACATTGATTATGAAATGACCTAATCAAATTTCTCACCTGTAGATATTTAAATTAATGTTTACTTGGGATTTCATACCTGGCCTTCAACTCTTCAAATGGCATCCAGACCTCCTTCTCTGAATCCACCAGATCTCCTGTTGTCTTTGAACCTTTCAGCCCATTTCCTGAAACCAGAATCTGCTCTGGTGGGCAGACTGGTGACCCTGGTGGGCAGACTGGTGACCCTGGTGGGCAGACTGGTGACCCTGGTGGGCAGACTGGTGACCCTGGTGGGCAGACTGGTGACCCCATATCGGGCTGAAGTCAGTTAAAGAGGAGGGGTCACCTAGATAGTTCTTAACTAGATACCAAACCGTGATCATGTTTCTGACAATAGGTTTCTTTTTTATCCAAAATTCTGATATTTGCTGAGTAAATATACTGGGGTAGAGGGAGAGGATCAGTTTCCAATATTCACCCGAGGTTAGAGACATTTATCTGGAAATAGTGCATCATAGTCCTCAGCTGAGCTGCCCACTAGTACCAAAGTGGGTTGGGGCATCTGAGGCCTCCTCTATCATACGGTAGATATTAAAGTGTTAAACGAAGCATTGGTCGTCCATTATTCCACAGAAACCGTGTGAAAATACTTTTTAAGGTTGAAAATAAATTGGCAGGAGAAGACAGTGGGATGTTCTGAAACAAATAAGAAGTTTGGGCATTATATTAGATTTAAGGGCATTGATCCGTGGTATGAGTGACAAGGGCAGATAATTCCATCTATCCAGGCAGCAATGAGTCCCCCATGGGTTTATAGTGTCATTTATACGTGGTTCTATCCTAACCCCCAGATATGTAAAGCAGTCTACGGGTTTGAATTGGGAAGGATTTCCAACACTGGTTCTTTCTTCTGAATTCAGTAACATCATCGAAGACTTTCTGTATTTACTTTACATCCTGATATTCTTCCAAATGTGTTTATTAGATATTAACACAGGAATGGTTTAGATCTAATTCCATTAGTAACCATTTCTGCATAAGGCTTGTTGTATAGAAGTTTATCCCCACAGCTGAATCTTTTCAGCGTGCCAAATAAAAACGGCCATCCAACTCTATCCAAGGCCTTTTCTGCATCCAGTGACGGCAAAGCAGTGTCTGGTTTTCTTCCATATTATAAATTAGATCCAGTTCTCGTCTCACATTGGGAAATCCCTGCTTCCTGCTATAAACCCATTTTGGTTGCAAGTAATTCATTTGGGCAAATTCTCTCCAATCTTTGAGCCAGTATTTTACAGAGAATCTTTAAATCAACATTGAGAAGAATTATTGGTCTTTGTTGCACGGTTTGCCAGGTTTAGGCAGTAAAGTGATCAGAGCTCCTCTTAGTGAGGCAGGAAGGATTCCCTTTTCATTGAAAAGGGGATAAATCAGTTAGGTTTGGATTTCTTATATAGTTCTGTTGAGCCTTACCTATTTCACCTGATCTGTTGCTACAGACATTTCCTCTTTACTTATAGCTGTGCTGAGATCTGTATTCATTGAGATATCGGTAATATGAAGGCTTTTGTTCATGTCTGAGCTATATCGTTTTTCAAAAAAGATTTTAAATCTCTCCCTGATTTCTGAAGGATCTGTAGTAATTTGTCCTTTATTATTTTTGACTGCGGTTATATCTTTGTCTATTTTAATAGTTTAAGTCGCCAGGCTAATAATTTCCAGACTTTTCCCGTTGATCATAGAACGATTGTTTAAGACGTAGAAGTTGTGAGGTGGCCTTGGATGCAGAAAGTTCATTATACTGAGTTCTTAATGTCAAAACGTTTTTATGGATGTTTGGGCATAAGGTTTGATAGTAAGCATCTTAATCTCATCTGCCAATTCTTTTGTTTTTTGGATAATTTTTTTGCATTATAACTTGTAAAGCTAATTATTTGACCCCTCATAAAGGCCTTAAAGGCTTCCCACCTCGAAGAGGACGATGTTTCATCCATATAACTATTAATTTGTTCATCTATAAAAAGTATGAATTCTGGGTCAGTGAGCCATTTCTGTTTAAATCTCCAGGTAGGAGGGTCTCTCCTTAGTTTCACGTCTTCATAAATGATTGAATTTGGTGCATGATCCGAAATTACAACGTTGTCATACTGACAATCTTTAATTTTGTGCCTCAAATTGTCATAAACTAGAAATGATCAATGTGTGAATATGATTTATGTGTATTTGAATAACACAAATATGTTAAACTTTTGGGATTCATGTCTCTCCAAATATGCATCAAATGAAGTTCCTTCATAAAGTGTTGAATAGTTTGTCTGCTTTTAGAGTGAGACCTGCCACCATCTGACCTTCTGTCCAGTTCTGGGTTCATTGTTCAGTTTAAATCTCCTGCTATAATAAAGCTTCCAGCTGAAGAGGAAAATGAAAGAAAGAGATTTTAAAAACTTTGGGTCATCATCATTTGGGGCGTAAATATTTATCAGGTTAATGTTCTCTGAGCTCAGTGTTCCCTGTAGAATAACGAACCTCCCGGTTCTGTCTTTAATAACCTTTGTCACATGTGATGTTATGGATTTATGAATGAAAGTCATGACCCCCCCCTGTACCGCCCTGCCTCCTCCTGCAGAGTCTTATCTCCTGACCAGCCATCAGCCATCAGCTGAGTTTCCTGAAACACTATCAGAGTCCACAGCTTTCACCTGATTCATGATCCTCTGACATGGGAGCTGGCTCGGAGCTCGTCTGCCTGGCTGTGTGTTTCCTGGACGG